CTGAAAAAATAACTGAAACATAAAATTTCTTTTCAAGAAATTCCTAAAAAATATATGTAAATAAAATAAAAATAAGTTGATCATTGTTTAAAAAGTTACTTAAATATACAAGATTTTTAAAAGTATTGAAGATGTAAGTTGTTTTGACTATTTTTGTTAACGATACTTATTTATCACGATACGATATTTTTGTTCCCATTTTACTTGTACTTCTTCTATTTTCAGAATTTTCTTATTTTTCTATTTTCAGAATTTTCAAACACATAGTTTCTATCGGAACTAGAGCAAGCTTGTGGAACAGATAATTTTTTTAATATGTTGATGTTGGAAATAAAACAGTAGTCATCTCATTCAGGCCAGTTAAAATAGATTGATGGACCTTTCGGGTGGAGAAACTTAACTTAAGCATCAACTTCTTCTAGGTTGGCTTCAGTTGCAATGCTGATCCACTATTTATCATCATAGACTACAGCTACATAACCTCCTAAAGTGACCGTATCAGGTTGAAATATATCTTGTTTCTTTTTAAGATTGTGGATTATTGTATAAATAGTGTTTGTATTACACCTCTTCTCCGCAGCCCTGTTATCTCCAAGCTACAAGTACCAGATAGAGTTTTTAAACCAGTGTACCTTTCTTTTTGCTCTTCGCATTGCAATTGTAAGTCCAATCCTTTTATTTAAATGAAGTTAACAACCTTGAGTTTCTCAATACAAAATTCATACATAGCTTCTGATATGAAAATTTGATTTCTGTATGGTCGTTTTAAACTTTCTTGCGCTGTTAACCTATTTACAGTACCGCCAATCCCATTGCATGGTGACTTTCCGTGGGACATGGCAAAAAAGTTTCACTCAACTTTAGGGGCTCTCTAGTTGGCATAGATTGTAAAAGCTTTTACAGTTTTTGTACTGTCCTGCACAACCATCAGTGAATAAATGTAATTTAGACAGATTGGAAAATTTTGTTTTTAATATTGGTATGATTAGTTGGAATATTTTGTACTCATAATAAATTTTGTACATCATGTGTAATGTCTTCTGATATAAAACAGTAAGAAGTATGTTTCAGCACACCTTTATCATCTTTATAGTATATCACTAATGGATGCAAAGAACATGGTTGGGTGTTTCAATGATAGCTTTGGGTTTCATCTTGGACTACAAAAGCATAATTTTTAGGAAAGTCACCAATAATGATTATGTTTGATTGATCCATATTTTGTTTTAGTTGGTTAAGGTACTTTTATTGAGAGTGAGCAATAAAAGAATGAGCTTGTAGCTTTTCAAAGCACGATTCTAATAGTTCGACAAATGTTAGAACATTTGCTGTTAAACTCAATAGTGTTTCACAATCAGTAGTTTACAATTGCTTGTAGTGTATCTCAAAATCATCTTCGTATTCTCCAAAAATCTCATACAAATATTTAATGAGGGGTTCTTTACCAGGACAATTATTACATTGTGCAAGCATGCATGCATTGTTTTCTACTGAGCAAACAGTTGTAGAAAGTAAATCCTTATACTTTAGTCCAATATTTAAGGTATCCACTGGCGATATGGTATTTTGGTGATAAAAAGAACAAACACAAACAGAGTGCGTACCACTTGCACCTGGCAAAAATGCACCACTTTAGTCTAAGTGTAGCAAATTTTGAGTAACTTATTTGTATTTCTGGATTGTTTTCTTTGTATGATACATATAGTTCCTTTAAATTACACAAAAGCAGTTTTTTTTATTTATGGACATTCTTTTAAATGCTAACATAATCTTTTTTTCCTGGCATAGTTCTAAATAAATCACTTGAGTCATAAAACAATTTAACAGAACCTTTTATTTCTTTGTGTAAATCTTTACCTTAATACAACGGAGAGATAGCTAACAATCCTTTTTTATTAAAAATTTGTCTTGCTATCTTAGCTTGGTATTCTGTAACTGCAAAGTTATTTTGTGCTTCTAATATATTTTGTGCTTCTAATATCGGGTGCCAGTGTTAGAAGTTAAACAATAGTCCTCTGTCAGAATATAGAATTTTTTCCTTTATCAAGCTAATAGTTTCATCAAAGTTTTCAGCTTTCTTTTTCATGTTATTTGTTTCATGTTGACTTTCAGTTTTTCTAGTAACGCTACTTACCATTTTGTTGATGTGCGCAACTTTTTGATTTCCTTCTGAGAATATATGTTTTGATGACTTTGAATGAGATTTTAGAGGAGATATATTAAAATTTTCAAGTTCTTCATTAATCTCCTGTCTTTTTGATTTTAAAAAAATTTTGATGATATTAAAAAAACCTCATCTTGTTCACCCTGACTTTGCTTCTTTTCTTTAAGATCTTCATTTCTGGCAATCTTTGCAAAGTTTTTTCCCAGGAGCAATATTCAAACTACTTCTCATCATGACTTGGAACTTATTTGTTGTAACTACTTTTTCTAAAAGTAATTAAATTATATAAAGCTTATCTGCACAATTGTTTAAAACATTGTTTATGTTTTGGAAAATACAAATTAAAAAAGTATATATAATAAAATATTTAAATTCTACATCTACTTTCTTGTGATTTTTATTGTATATTTATTGAAAAGATCACAACATGCTTTCTGACATATAGGATACATTTTCAAATATTTTGTAGTATCTCTTTCACATAATGTTGTTAAGTTTGATAGTTCAATGTTACAGCATAATGATATAATTTTTTTTTTCTTCATTGCTTAAAGTTTCGATATCATCTTGTTGGCTTTTGCATGCATCTGATGTCATTAAGCCAATAGAACACATCTTAAGAAAAATTACTTAATATGAATGTATTTCATAAAAAAAAAGAGAATTCTTCTTTCCTACTTCTTTTTCAGAACCCTTCTGTTGTATAATGTTTTACACTGATAGATGTTGTTAATTTTCTTTATATATATATATATATATATATATATATATATATATATATATATATATATATATATATATATATATATATATATATATCCTTATAGTGTAGTCGAAAGAGTCTTTTATGGTAAAAAAAGTCTCTTGACTACAATTTTTTTACCTTGTCTCTTAAGCAGCATTTTATTGTAGTCGAAATGTCAAAGCAATTAAATTAATGCGGAAGTACATTAAATTTTATTGTTTTTTAAAAAAAACCGCAATAATAATGACTAGAAAGTTTTTTTTAATTAGTGGTGTTTTTATTTTTGTTTTATTATAAAACATTTTTAAAACATGCGTAAGTGTTGCTACATCGACTATCTTATAGCCTGCTACTACAAGGGAGTGTTGCTACATCAACTATCTTATAGCCTGACTCGCAACGGAGTGCTGCTACATCAACTGACAAATAGCCTGACTCGCAAGGGAGTGCTGCTACATCAACTGAGGGTTTGGTTTGGGCAGGCAGTCTATCATTAAATATATATATATATATATATATATATATATATATATATATATATATATATATATATATATATATATATATATATATATATAATATATATATATATATATATATATATATATATATATATATATATATATGAATGCTGTTCAATATCACACTTTGTCAGTTTTTATATAAAAACAAAACAGGATGTTGATGCTGTTTTCTAAGATCAAAATTGATTGTATATGTTGTATAAGATATACATTTTACAAAATATTGAATTATTGTAAGGTACCACTAAACTTTAGCAAATAAATATTATTTATTAACAGTTATAAGTTAAAAAAAAAAAAGGATTTCAAAACAATTATGAAAAACGAGATTTTTATAAATGTCTGTTTTCAGTTTGATGATTTTTAGTTGTTAAGATCAACTAAGTTACCATATGCTTAAGACTTTCTTAAATATAACAAAATTGTTTTGTTTTTTTCTTCTAAGTCTATAAACTAAACTTAACATTTTACAAAATTCTATTTGCCAGTTTTTTTAAATAGTTTATTAAAAATTTGATCTATCTTTGAAATTAAAGTTCAATATGTTTCAGTTGTTTTTCCAATTAGTTTTTTTGTGCCTAGTAAGATTATAAGCAGCTGAAAATATTACCAAACAAAAAAAATAATTTGAAGGGGTTGTTTTGAGATATCAGACCCTAAAGTTTGTTTATAGAAACTAGTTGTTTAATTAACTTTTAGGCATGTTCCTATAATATTTTGGCATTTTAAGTACATTTATTGAATTCAGCATCAAAAAGACATTATTTATACTTATTTTCATATTTTTGCCATTTTTATTTCTTACTTTTTTTAAAAAATATATATTTTCAGAATGTTATGAAAACCGGAAACTGGATTTTGGGAAACCAGGTCAATATTAAAATTGCAGTATCTTGTCAACCGCTCAACATTTTTAGCTGAAATTTTGTGTGCTAACTTTTCTTTTTAACATGCAACACCCAAGAAGTTTATAAAAAATTTGAGGATCCATTGTTCAAAATTTTCTAAATTTTGGGTGATTTGATGTGAAATTACCCATTAACCAATTTTTACAATTTATAGAGTATTTTTGGCCATTTTCTCAAAGTCAACTATATTTACTAAAACTTCATTGGAACAAAAAGTTTTAGTAAGTATAGTTGACTTTGAATGCTGCACCGTATCCTTTATTAATAGGGTGTTTTTTTTTTTTACTATTTTTATGGTTTTATTTTAGACTCTTTTACCCTTTATTCAACCCATTTTTACTACATTTGAGCTATTTTTTTTCCCAGAGTTAGGTCTCAGAAAAAACAAAAATTTCCAAATATCATTAAAAGTCTTCATTGAGGATAAATTTCTTTAATCAAAACATGCAATTAATATTTTTGTTTAATGATATATTTGCAATATTAAAGAAGCATTTAAAAAAATAAATTTTAAAAATTTTTATATATATTTTTTATATATTATTTACATAAAAATTTTATATTTATTTCTATATTTGTTATATTAATTTAATGGCATTTAGTTTATTTATAAAAATTTTTTTCTTAATTTTAATTATTTTTTCTATTTTTTTTTTTAGGCATTAAATGATTTCGGAAAAATTGATATTTTTGTTTCAAACGCAGCTGTAAACCCTGTTGCCTGCCCATTGTTAGATGTAATTGTTCTATCAATTTCTATTATTATCATTTTATTGTTATTAAATTTTTTTATTGAAATATTGGTTGTTCTAATAAGTATTATTTAATCTATAACAAATAGGTTTATAAACAATAAATTACTGTGCATTGTTCTGATGCACTCTAACGTACAAATTATAGTCCATTTATTTGTTTAATTGTACCTCATCTGACCTGATATGGATTTGCACCTCATCTGAACTGATCTGAATCTGGACCTCATCTGACTTGATCTGGATTTTATACAACTATTTTTTTTTTATAAAATATAACTCACTCTGATTAGAACTTTTTAGGTGATGTATGTTTGTTTTTGTACATTTTTATATTTTATACAGTTTTTAATTTTTTTTTTTTTTTTTCTGATAAAATTTAATTGATTAAAAAAACATTGGTTGAAAAAATTTTTATTCTATTAAAATGTAGTCAATAAATTTCTGTTTCATGGAATTAAACCAAATTAAAACAAATAACCTTAATTCATTTTTATGGAATTAAAACCAAAACTCAAATTTTAAATTGATTTATGCATGTGTGTAGTCTGAACCAAATTAAATTATTTATTATAATTAGTTTATTAATTATATAATAAACTATATAATTAGTATATTATATAATTAGTATTACCACATTTTTTTTCAGACACCAGAAGAAGCTTGGGATAAAGTAAGTTTTTTATTAAATTTTTTTTATTTTATTAAACTACTGTATGTTCTGCTGTTTTGCATTATATCAAAATTGAGTTTTTTGTTTGTATTTTAAAAGATTTTCGATTTGAATCTAAAGTCAAGTTTTTTGTTGGCAAAAGAGGCAGTTCCTCATTTATCTAAAACAAGGTTTTATATACTAATTTTTTTGGTTAGGTTACTTTTTTATAGATGGTAAAAATAAAATACTGTTTTTTGATACTTTGTTCTAATATTTTAATTGCTTAAAACATGCATATATATATATATATATATATATATATATATATATATATATATATATATATATATATATATATATATATATATATATATTTGTATATATATATATATATATATATATATATATATATATATATTTATATATATATATATATATATATATATATATATATATATATATATATATATATATATATATATATATATATATATATATATATATATATATATATATGTATATATATATATATGTATATATATATATGTATATATATATATATATATATATATTACTTAAATCAAAATTACTTTAATTTGTTACTTATCAAACAGGAATATAAACAGAATATAAACCAGAGTCCTTATGGGACTCTGCATTCCTGATTTTACTTGTTTTGAACAAAGAAACTTATCTCAAAACTTATAAAAAAAAAAAAAAGTTTTAGTTTTTATTTTCTAATTTTTGAGACTGGTTTAGGTCTTAAAAATTAAAAAATATAAACTCACGGATAAAAAAAAAATTCCTACCCTCCTGCTTATTATTACCTCTTTTCTCCCCTCCCCTTCCATTTTTATCTCCCCTCATTTATTAAATCTGGAAAAGTGCAAGTGACAACTATTTCTTCTACTTTATTTACAACTTCCTCCACAACTCTAAATACTTTTGAAAAAGATAGCTCATAATTAGAAACATCACCTCCTGAATTAGCAATACCACTTGCCACTATTGCATTATGTTGCCTAACTTGGAAGTTTCTCATCTATTGCTGTATATATAGGGTTTGTCATACTATTTTTTCTTCTGGATTGAAAACTCTGTATTCTAAAAACTTTTATTTTTATATAATATTACTAAAAATCAATTTTTGATAATACTACACCTATTACCTAAGAAAACATAAAAAACACAATAACTTAAAATTCTAATAGAAAGATAAAAATACTAAGAAATTTACTTCAAGATATAAAACCAAATAAGTACTATTAGCATAAACAAGCCCAAAATAATCAGAAAGCAGTATACCTCATTAAAAAAAAAAAAAAAATTTTAATCAACAAAACAACAATAGCCTTAAATAAACTCTAACACTGTCATAGATACCTCATTCAAAATATGATTGCGAAAAAAAATCGTTGCACAAAAACCTTAAAAATGTCACTGGCATTAATGTAAACATTTAGTGAAAGATTTAAAAAATTCTCTGAATAATAATAAAAGATGAAAATTGTGCATATGAAAATTAAAACAAAGCTGAGTAATAAATGCAAGATAATATAACATAAAAATTCCTTGTTAATAGTAATAATATGAAAATCAACATACAAATAATATATTAATGAATATTGCAATAAGATCAACTAACTGTAACAAAGCCAGATAAATTTAAACCAAATGAGTGGTTAAAAATTTGTTTTGGGTCATATAACAGTGATATAAGTTGTGATATAAAAAGGATGTTAGAAGCAGGAAAAAATATTGTTAAGAAGTAAAGTTTTCTCTACGGTCTGAATTACAAGTAACTTTGAAACCATATCTAAATCGCAATTTTCAAAAAGTAAAACGGTCTAAATTGAATGTAATTTTGAGACCATAATTTAAAAATATTTTGAATAAAATGCTTTAATAAAGATCATAAGGATAATAAAAATGCTAAAATGGGCAAAACTACATAAAAAATGGACTATCAATGACTGTAAACACGGACCAATGTGTCGAGGTTTTTAATCTTTGGTTTCAAGGTAAGATTGTCTGAAAAAAAAAATCGTTAAATATATGATAAAATAGTGTGTATTATTGACTGTAAAATATGGTTGATGTAGTGTTAAGGTTTGGGGCTGTTTTGGTTTGAATGCAGCAGGTGAAATAGAGGGAGTAATGACAAAAGAAGCTATTAATATTTTCAGAAGAAAATGAGTTAATGCTTAAACATAAAATATATTTTTCAAAAATTTGCATAAGTTATTAGGCTGATTTCGAAAACAATCAAATATTAAATTAAATGATTTAGCCTTCCCTATCACAAGATCTCCTATCGGATTTTTATGGGAGGAATTAAAGTAATTAATGGGAGGAATTAAATGTCAAAAACTAATGCCTTGTGATTCATAAGATGTGATAAAAACTTTTTAGTTAGTGGCCTAAAATTGACTTCGACAAATTGGATAAGTCGTTAAATAGAATGTCAAAAGTATGAATGGCGATTATTGTCGCTAAAGGGTTATTAAAAGACAGTTTATTAAAAGTAAATTATAAACTAATCTAATCAGACTTCATATTAATTTTTTTGTAAACTTAATGAAAAGGAAAATAACATATAGTACAGGTAGATTATATCTACCTGTATATATATATTATATTATATATATGCTTCAATATATATATATATATATATATATATATATATATATCATATATATATATATATATATATATATATATATATATATATATATATATATATATATATATATATGTATATATATATATATATATATATATATATATATATATATATATATATATATATATATATATATATATGTATATATATATATATATTTATATATATATATATATATATATATATATATATATATATATATATATATATATATATATATATATATATATATATATATATATATACACATATATCTTAAAGCATATATATATATCAACCCTCGGAATTAGGAAAAATGAGGTGAACAATATTTTGACCAAGACCAATACTCTAGACCAATACCAATAACCAATACTCTAGGACCAAGACCAATACTCCGAGACTGAGACCAAGACCAATACTCTAGGCTTTCAAGACCAAGACAGTTGAATATGAGTCTTGGGGCATCTTGAGACTAAGACTTTGGTCTCAAGATCTACATCTCTGGATTTAGTACACCCAGGATGATACTTTTCATTACTCCCTCTCGAGAATCAATATCTTTGAGCGCATCGAAAACTAAAAGGAGACTCATCTGACTAAACAACTCTTCTCCATTGGGCAATAGTCAAGTCTTTATGTGCACTGCCCTATTGGTGCCTATGTGCAATGTTGACTTTTGAGAGAAGAGGCTTCCTGACAACCCAATGAGAGTCTTAAGTTTTGCACTCATGTAAACGACAATTTATAGTTTTTGCAGAAATGTTGGTAATACCAGTTTCCACTTTTATTTCATCTTTCGAAATGTGGTGATTTTTAAGGGAAGTTTGGACAATTCATCCATCTTCTCTTTTTTTAGTTTTTTTCTTTCTTCCTGATCCAAAATGACGGGTTGTTTCTCCCGTGTCCTTATATTTTTTCAGAAAATCAGTAATGGTACTTTTTCCACATCCAATCTTAGATGCAACATCTTTTTGAGTCATTCAAAATGATGAAATTTCAAAAATTTTACCTTTATTGACATCATTAATGATCATTTGGTGTAACTAAATAGAGTAGCAAAATTTTTATTGTCGCAAATTTTTATTGTTGTAAATTTGATTGTCGAAAATGTGAAAAAAGAATAGTGTTGCAAGTTGTTGCATAATTGATTATCAAATAACAGAATAAGGAATAATGTTGCAAACATATATTGGAACACAAAATAAAACTGTGTTTTGCGTTTGCGTTCTCATGCAAACTCAAACACATCTGACGCAGTTTATTGCATTTACTTACGCAAATGTAAATGCAATGTATGCAAATAACTGCTTCTACGTACGTATTTAATACACAACTTATGCATTCAAGTTGTATTTACGAACATAACTCAAACGAAATTTATGCATATAAATGCATTTACAAACGTAACTGAAACAAAACATACGCATATATATATATATATATATATATATATATATATATATATATATATATATATATATATATATATATATATATATATAGGTTGAGTCATATTTGATGTATGTAAACTAATTAGGTGAAAAACGCAACTCGCGTATTAGGAGCCATCCATAAAGGACATCGCCAATTTTTGACCCCCTACCCCCCCCCCCTCCTTTGTCACCGGTTGTCCTTTTTCCCTATACTCCCCTGAAAAAAGACGTCATAAAATCCTGAACCCCCTCCCTATTTTTAACTCCAAAAAAATTTATTTCATCTTGCAATGATGCTTGAATCTGCACCTTTGAAAAATAAAATTAAAAATATTCATTATCTTCTCAAATTCTCATACATTGTCTTCTCAAAAACACATGTTTACATAGTTTTTCATGTTAATTAAACTAAAATAAAAAATCTATAAAGTGGCTTCCTTTTCTGACAACCTCTCCCCCTTCCCCTTTTCTTTTTTTCTCTTTTTTAACTCGTCCCCCTCCCCGCCCTATTTGGATGATGTCCTTTATGAATAGTCCCTTTCGTATTAAAAAGTAAATAAAAAGTTCTTCTGTTTTAAAAGTATTTTTGAACAAGAGTTTCCATAAATTAAGAAATTAATAAAACTTTTTACACTATTACATTAAAAACATGAAACTTAAAATTTAAGAAGAGTTTATCAAAATAATGTTGTTTATATTTTTACACTCCACTTTTATCGAGCTTTTTTAATTAAAAAATGCCATTGTCATGAGCATTTTGTTCTATTGAGACTATATATATATATATATATATATAATATATATATATATATATATATATATATATATATATATATATATATATATATATATATATATATATATATATATATATATATATATATATATATATATATATATATATATATATATATATATATATATATATATACATATATATATATATATATATATATATATATATATATATATATATATACATATATATATATATATATATATATATATATATACATATATATATATATATATATATATATATATATATATATATATATATATATATTTATATATTTATATATATATATAT